GAGAGAGAAGCATTGATGTGAGAGAGAAACATTGATCCGCTGCCTCCTGTACATGCCCTGATCAGGGATTGAAGCCAAAACCTAGGTATGTGCCCTGACTGGGAATTGAACCCTCAACCCTTTTAGTGTATGGGACAATGCCCCAACCAACTGAGCCACCCGGCCAGGGCTGACTTCCTTTTCTTTTTCTTAGCATTGCCCAAAGCAGTAATATTGGTGAAACCACAGGCTTGATCTGCCTGTTGTATATTTATTAGAGGCCTGGTGCACGAAATTTGTGCACTTGAGGGGGGGGGTCCCCTCAGTCCAGATTGCAAGAGGGCGCAGGCCAGGCTGAGGGGCCCCACTGGTGCAGGATTGGGGCTGGGGAGGGACACAGGAGGTTGGCCAGCCGGGGAGGGATCTCAGGAGGGCACCAGGGCATGTCCGGCCCATCTCAGTTCCAATCAGCCAGACCCCAGCAGCAAGCTAACCTACTGGTCTGAGCGTCTGCCCCCTGGTGGTCAGCAGCCTTAGCATATCATTAGCATATTATGCTTTGATTGGTTGAATGGATGACCAGACGATTGGACATTTAGCATATTAGGCTTTTATTATATAGGATTTTAGTGTGTTTTAAGAGAATTTATTAAAAGAAAAGTAATTTTGCTCATGGTACAGGTACCACATTATATGGAAAACTGTCTTAAGATCTTACACTCACAATGACAATTTGGAACTTCAGTTACTATTGTATTTCTAAGGACATGAAGTGTTTTTGCTACATTTCTCTTCATATCTGGACGGTACAGAAAGTCTCCAATCTTCCCTGTCCCCCATATCCTGTCCTTCGAAGAGGGACACACTCAGAAAGTGGCAATAACTTGCTAACACCACACAGCTAGTTAGTGGCACTTAACTGACCAGGTTTGGTCTAGATACATGCCATCTTGGGTTCTTGATTGCAGGCACTTAACTCTTGCATTTCTTCTCTACACAGAGGTCCCTTCTCCATGCCACAAACATACGTGGGGAGGTTAACCACTCTCCCTCCTCGTTTTCTCACTCTCCCCTCTGTTTCCCTCCACGTGCTAAGCAGTTTGCATGCCTTGGTGTTTCTCTGCGCCTCTGCCATCAGACTAGCTGCATGCCCGTACGCTGACAGGCACTTGGGTTTTCTGCTCTTCCCACATCCCTCTGGCCTGTCCACCATCTGTGTGGGGACGCGCATTGGGACTGCACCATCGGCAGGGATTCCCGAGAGGGCCCACGAGAATGGGCTTCACTCCTCTGGCCGCTGCCCTCTCTCCTCCTCTGAGGCTTCAGCTCATGGGATCCTCCAAGTCTTTTCTATTCAGCCCCCACCTCCATTTCTTCTAGCCCTCAACTCGATTCCCATTCCATGACCCCCACCATCGCCTCCAACTCTTACTGAGCTCCTACTAATTGCCAGGGACCATGCTATGGATTCACATGCATGACATCATGTTAATTCTCACCACAGCCCTGCACGGCAGTTACTGATATTAACGTGTTATACCTCTATGGAAATTGGGAGTCAGAGCCCAGCCGGCACAGCTCAGTGGTTGAGCGTCAACCTATGAACCAGGGGGTCACAGTTCAATTCCTGGTCAGGGCACATGCCCAGGTTGCAGGCTCAATCTCCAGTAGGGGATGTGCAGGAGGCAGCCAATCAATGATTTTCTGTCATCATTGATATTTCCATCTCTCTCTTACTCTCCTTTCCTCTCTGAAATCAATAAAAATATATTTTTTAATTAAAAAAAGAAAGAAATTGTGAGTCGGAGAGGTTGTGTGACCTCCCCAGGGCCACACAGCTGGGAGGAGACAGGACCCGGATTTGAAACGAAGTTTTGTGATTCCAGTTGCCTCTTCCCATCACCACGGCACTCTCTCCGCTTCGGGGCCACTCACCCCCCCGCACTGCGAGCTTTCCTTTGGGAGGAGCTTCAGAATAGTGCACAGTGACATGGGCACCTCCTCCCACCCAGGAAACGTAGAACGTGTGTCCTGTGATTGCATTGCTATCAGGGCAAGTGTGTTCATGTTACATCCTAAAGCCTTTCTTCAGCCTAAAAGTTCATTCATTTCCTGTGATTTGAAAGAAATGAAGACACTCCCATGAGCCCCTAAAAAGGGTCGTGCCTTCCCCACGCTGCGCAGCGTGTTTCCTGAAGTTGGCCCGGGTGGCTGGCACCAGCGCCCCAACAGCACGTCCTCAGCAACCTCCACGCTCGTTTCCCGAAAGGCCCCTGGTCACTCGTGTGAGCTTTGGGCGGGCACAGAGGGCATCCGGGGCTCCAGGCCCCGGTGGCAGCGTCTCCTGCTGGAACCAAGCAGCACTGAAGCAGGACAGGAAGAAATTGCCGCGGGAGATTACAGTCAGGGTGGTTCAAACTGTAGCCAAGGCCTCTTCTCAAGTCTTGGCGCTCCTGCGGTGGGGTCGCCCTCCTCTTAGTCTCATCGGTGGATGGATGCACTGCGCGCGGTTATAAGCCTGCAGACAAGCCCGTCCCTGTATCACCTGCTGTGCGCCTGCCTGCCCCACGGGAGCTCCTGGATCACAGGCTCCAGACAGCTGGCAGCCTTTGCCGCTGCCGCCTTGACCCCCCTCCCAGAGAACCAGTTCACATTTGCTGTCTGCTCTTGCTTCCTGCCTTCTCTTTGGCTCCATCCCAATTACAGCACCCTCCTCCCAGCCCCCAGTCTTTCATATGCGACTCTGATTGCTGCGCATTTTTGCCAGCTCATCTCCCCAAATCCTGCGAGGCCCTCTCACTCTCCCAGTCCTTCCAGGCCCTTCCCGTGCAGGGGCTGGCTCGGCTCTTCTGCTGCCTTCGCTCCTGAGTACACAGTAAATGACAGACAAGAACGTATAAGGGTCCCTTTCCCCAACAAAGACAACTACAATAGAGAAAGGGAGGTGCCTGGAAGTCGGGCTTCCAGCCCCCTGTCCTGCAGGAAGCAGCCGCCGAGTGGGAGTGAGGACGGGGGATTCACTGAAAAGACTGGGCATGCTTCTGTGTGTCTCCCGGCACCAAAGGCAGGGCAGGGCGTGCTGTGAGAAGGCGAGGGCTTCCGGAAGCCCCACTGCCATGGTCTGTCCTGGCCCCCTCCTGTCACCCTGCTT